TACTAAGTCAAGGAACTTAGGTTTGTTGAAAAAGTTATGTGAAGGGGTTTTGTCTCCTGTTATGCTGTGTACTGCAGCTAATACTGCACTGAAACACAAGGCAAACATTTTGCTAATTAGGACAGTGCCGTAGGTTGTTCTTTGCCACTGGCACTCAGTGTTTTTAGATCATGAGAATCATCCTCAGTAAGGTTTTGGTTCAAGACAACAAGCTGACTCCCTGTAATTCCTAGACAGTCAGTTTTCCTTGTCAGTTTCCTAGGCTACCAACCTTTCCCAGAGAAGTGAGTGACCCAACTGTGGGCATCGTACTTGGGAAGGCAGGAGAGGTTAATAGAACATGGGCTCTCCTATGAGATTTGGCTCCTGTGCCAAGTAAAGATCTCTGCCACATTTGATTTACTTGCACAGGTGCAACTACTAAGCTGAGCTCTTACTTGATTTCTATAATTGTGATCTTCAGATTTTGACTATATCAAAATAGTGACAATGGTGTCACTGTGGTGAATGATGACTATGAATGATATATTATGGCTTTTAAATCTACTCCAGAGATTTGCAGTACAGCCAGTTAGACCCAATCACTGTACTACCTTGCTGTCTACACATCTCCTGACCTAAAATTGGGTCAAATTTGACTTTTCCATCTTTCATCTGAAGCTGACACAAATGATGTGAGACCTTCTTTCTTTCTTTCTTTCTTTCTCCACCTGAACCAATAACAGCATATGCTGATCTCAAGAGCTTCAGCACACCGCTTTCTGGGCAGCTAGCACAGGAAAATGGAACTTGCCTTTGGAAAAAAATAAATAGAAGCATTGTCGTGTGCTTGTACTTTTGGAATGAAAAGTAAAACTCATTTTTCCTGCATGGGAAGAGAGAACAAATGCAGTAAACAGCAGCATAAACCAATGAAGCCAATTCTGATGATTTTTTTATGAGTGGCCTGCATGTACAAATGAATCATTCTTACTAAAACTGGCAGGTTAGTTACTGGTTTTTCAAATATTGCTGTTCAGCTCTTCAGGCACAATTGTGGCAAATGTTTTTTTAACAACCTGCTATTGTCAGAACACAGCAAAGAGGTGCAGGTTTTAGAAACAGGGAATGACATGACAATAGGCCTTTTTGGTCATTATCTCTTTGACCAACAAGGGTCCTCTAAATACAAATAAGCTTTAACATTTTAAAAACAGAAAAGAAATACCTCACCCTTTAGGGGTTATTTAAGCAGCTGGGAAAATTTCTTGTCACGATCATTTCCATTCTCATTTCTTTCCCCTCTGTGTTTCCCTTACGTTCTTTAACCCCACTTCCAGTAATGGAAAAATAAAACTGAGAAGAAGAGGTGCCTGTGGAACAACCAGGAAAGCAAAACACCATGTGGGTGGAAGATGGAGGGAATCCATAACAGTGGATTCATCTGTGCAGTCTGTAGCCTGCTCTTTTCAGACTGCTCAGCAAGAGGCCACATTGCCCAACCTAGCTCATTTCAATGCAAGAAAAACCATGACTATCGCAAGCAGGAAATGTTGACATCATAGAACTATTAAGAAAACCTGAACGTTAGTCATTCTCCAGACCAACCACATCAGAGGCAAGGTCACACAAACATTATTCAGGCAAATACCAACTGCTCTTTTGTCTTGGCAAGACTGACAATCAGACACTGACTTTCTGTTGATATATTAAATTAAACAACATTTTCCTTGAATGCATTGGAAGGAAGCGTGTTGAGCCCATAGTGTGGTTGTATGTTGTGATTAGAGAACAGATTTACTGCAAGGAAAGTGGCATTGCAGAGAATTGTGAGGACAGATTAAGACAAGTGTGGGTATCTTCTTCCTCCAGTTGCTTTCATTCATATATGTCTAATTGAATTTAAAAGCCCAGGATGAAACATTAATCCTGCGATCAAGAATTCTTTCTTAATATAAAAAAATTGAACAATAAAGTGTCTTTAATCCTATTCAACGCTTCTGTAAATAAAATCCATCACAGAGATAGCAGTAACAGGATGCATGGAGGACTGAATAAATGAGGATTTTGTGGCATGAACCAAGGAGAGCAAAGGAAGAGTGAGCTGCTTGTTATGGGGAGGATAAACAATGCAAGAAGAGAAAAGAAAAAAGGCATTAGCAGATGTGCAGACTTACAGGGCTTTGGTGTCATGAGTGGGCCCTTCCATTTGTGGTGGGAAAGGAGAGGGAGAGCACTGCCACAGGCTGTGGGACCACCCGTGTGTGGCACAGTGGTGTGCTCCTGAGCAGAGATGCAAAGGCCAAGCAGCTCAGCCTCCAGCTCTGCCTTTGCCTCCAGTCTTTGCAAAACATCCTGCAGGAACCTCTGCTTTCTGATCATTTTCATTCTTACTCATATGTAACCCTATTAGCAACAACTCATTTTCCATCATCTCCACTTTCTCAAGACAGGAATATGGCCGATTTTCATCACATTATACAAAATAAAGATCTCTAAGAGCCGTTCCAGGAAGTTAACCCACAATACTTCTGACAGTTTAGTGGAGGTGAAGTTGAAGATTCTTGCTCAGAGATGAAAAAAATGGAGGCAAAGAGAAGATAAGCGTTTATTTAGTCACTATTTTTTTGGCATCTTCATTTCTTAGGCTGATTGGTTTTTGATACATTCATATTTAGGTCTTGGTGCGAGTAAATGGTCCATCCACTAGTACACCTTATCTAAAGACATGGATGAAATCAGTAACTGTTAGAAGTCAGAATTTCTAACATGTAGATCTTCTGTCTAACTTGCACTTATTACCTATTTCCTACATTTCAGAGCAAGTGTTCACATAGGAACCAACGAGCCAGATATTCCAGCCGTTGTATTTAAACTAAGAAAATGTTTGGCTTTTATGCTGAACTAAAATGTGAGGAGTATACCATCAAAATCTGAGTTTCTTCCCTTTTGTTCCTGCATGCTGCTAAGCTTGAGTCTTTGAATAAAAATATTCCTTTTATTTAATGAAGGACATTAGTACATGAACTTCATCTGAAATAAGTGTGAATGAAATAAAAGCTTATGTTTTTCCGTAAAAACAAGTCACCAGTATTTTCTAGGTAACTAAAGGGGTATTTGTCATGATGCAGAGATCACAGACAGGACTAGCCACAAGCGTGTCATTCAGTATTAGCTGTGATGTTGAGAGAGAAAAGTCAATCTGCCTTTCACATTTTAAAGCTAAAGGTCAGATTTGAAACATTTTCAGTTATTAGTAAAGTTAAGGTTCTTGGCCTCAAAATATGAACACTCTGCTCTGAATAAATATGCCAAAGTATACAGTTCTGTGCAATCCGAGCTCTTCAGTATGTTGAAAAATAGCCCAGTTGGGGTTGCTTATCTTTATAATTGAACAGCAAACAGGTTCCTTCTGGATAGTATTATTATCAAATGACTCTGAAAAGCAAAGACTACTGAATTACTGAATCTAATTTAAATTATACTCTTAGAAAATGTAGAAAACTCACTACAAATCTGTTCCTGCTAAATATATTTTTTGCTCTTAATTTGTGATTTAAGCTTTAAAATAATTATCTCATTGTTTTCACCCTGACAGTTCAGCTATCACAGTTAAAAATAGCAGTGAATAGGAATACTTGAACTTTTTTAAAAAAATTCTGTTTTCCTTTTATTTTGTCTCTTTTAATATGAAAGTGCATTTATTTCCAGGCAAGGAATCTTAGAACAGGCACACAGCACCTGTTATGTGAGGCTCAATATTAGAAATACAGCAATACCAAAAAGATTAGGGACACTCAAGTCACTTCTGTTTGCAAACAAAATAAATCAAACAGAAATCCTCCGTAGTTTAATGGTCTAAAAAAAATTAAATTAACCCCTTTCATTATGGAAAGGTTACTAAGACTGCATGTGCCTCAGAGATTATGGCCTTTTTACCAATTACTCTGGTAATTGTCAATGATATGGACACCTGTTCTCCGGACACACAGCTCAGACCACCATGTTCATTTCATCTGGGACACTAAACAGCAACCAGATGGCTGCTGATTTAAGTCTTCTAGGAATTTGAACCTGAAATGGGAAGCAACATGTACTGTTCTCAGTTTCCCAAAAAAATGAGCTGCATACATATGGTGAAAATCCAGAACAAAAGAGCGACGTTTTCCTCCTGAGATTTCCTTGTTTCACTCTCTAAGGTAACATAGTAACGACATCAACATCAGTCCTACTAACAATAAATAAACTCTTTCCAGAATAAATGCAAATGTCCTTGTGAAAAGGAGCATAAATTTCTTCTGTATGTGTGTACTGAAACAACTGAAGTGCATCCACACGGGGCAGAAGGAGAAGTATGTCATGTTGGACTTCGGCGCAACGCATAGGCTGCACTTGACAGTGCAAGTATAAGTTAACAAAAGGCTAGCTAGTATTAGGCAACCCTTCCCTTTCTGCTTTTTCCTTCTACACTTTTAATCTTCAAATTAAAGCCTTACTAGATGGAAAAAAGCTTCTGGGATTACAATGACTGGATGCACTGTGGCTGATATTTAAAATCTAAGGCAACTCCAATAGGCCCCAAAATGTCGAGAAGAATATGTATTTAACTGCTAAATTCAAAGATGTAATGAACATACTGCTCCTTCAATGACTTCAGGGGAACTTCAGGCAAGAGTTAGCCTGTCAGAGCAAAATGTGAGTTAGGCCAGAGCCCAATGAAAAGCTGCACTTTTGACTTATTGCTTCAGATACACTTCACCAATACATTCAGATAGGCAGTTCCCATCATCCCTGGACATAGAGGCTGAAGATCATCAGGATGGACGAAAGTGCAGGGTCAGGAAGGAGGGATGTGTTTGGGCATTAGAAATGCCAACTTTTTAACTTCCCCTTCCTAAGACAGATGAGGTAGGCACAATGTCTTTGCTGGATTGCTGGTACACTTTTTCTACCTTATCACAAGGGTATTTTCGTTCTGATTCCCATTATTTCTACTCTTAATTTCTTCAATCAACTCCAAATTTTACTGGGGGTTTATTTATTTATTTTTGGTAGCATAGCCTGTGGTCACAAATCTCTTCTCCAGAATTGTAACCACCTCGGCCATTACCAAGGCAGACCTCAGACATCTTTTCCTGTGAAAAAATAAAACCAAAAATTAATAGTCTTCTCTTCAGAGATACAGGTTTGATTTCCTCAAGTATATCCTCCCACCAAATCACTTCCGTTTAGGTTTCTTTTCTACTTATATTGCTTTTCCAAACATGCATATCAGCAGTAGGAAAACTGCTCCTTTTTGCCCCACTTGATGTATCATTGGGATAACACTTCATCCTTAAGCCACTTGGATGTTCTTCTGCTCATAAGACCAACAGTTATCCTTGTCTTTGATCTAATGAGCAGCATTTCAGACCAGGTTTTCTGCTGTCATCTGCAGTCATTTGCTCTTTCTGATCTATGTCACTGCTTTCCAGAAAGCAAACTTTACTCTGACTTACAGTCCTCCTTCATATACCATTGTGGTTATAGGTTATTCAGAAATGTAGCCTCTCATTACTGCTGAAGTGCAGCAAAGGATGCCAAAGGAAAAGGAGTAGAAAACAAAATCAGCAAACAAAAACATCCTAAAAGTATATATATATATATATCATAAAGAGGATGGTGAGGAGGAACTGCGAAAGCATGCTGACAGAGTTTATTTTTGACAATCACAAAACACATTTTAAAGCTTTATTCCTTACTCTTTAGCTACCTTTTAAACATAATTTTAGCAGATTGTTTCCATGTAGCTGAGTTACACAACTCAATATTTCAACATATACAACACTTGAAAACTTCTTTGTATTCCCAAATTGTTCTTTCCTTTTAGCCTGGTTGTGTAAGGGAACAACCCCTGTGCAACTGTACCATCTGCTTGCCTTCTACCCCAAAGTCAGCGATACAGCCAACTACTACATCCAACTTCATAAGGGATGCAAGGTCTATAAGACTTGACATTCTTACAAGTTCTGTGAAAGCTGGCAGCTGGAAAGAGGAAAGAAGCCCAATTCAGTGTCTCCTGATGAGGGAAAGACAGGCACAATCCTGCATCTTCTCTGTTTGAAGAAAGAGCAGCTATCTGAGCAGTGCATACACATTTTTTTGGATGTTTTGTTAAGGCACACAGTGATGAAACTGCATAAGACATGTATGAAGGAGCTGAAGGTGAACCTGAGGAAGAAGGGGCTAAAACACAGCTCCATAGGAAATTAGGTCTCATCTGTCATGCTGATAATCTTATTTCAGCGATTCCCTTTAAGGATAAGACTACCTTTTTCACAAAGACAAGGAAAGGAACTTACTAATATTCTTAGCCACAGTGTCAGATCGCCAGTGGTTTTAGCTAGATAACAAACAATAAAAAGGCATATCAACACAGGTGAGAAAATGGAAAACCCCTTGAGATTCCACAAAACTCAATGAAGAGGTGTCGGCATTATAATGATACTGTCACGGTTTTATGATTTTCAGTTATCCCACATCATAACATCATGTAATGCACTGGGGGTTTGACTGCTGATGCTCAAGTTCTGGGTGCCTGCCCAGAGGAGAAGAAGAACTACATTCCCCAGGGGGCTTTGTGGTCAGCGAGGAGATAGAACTCCCAGCAAGGTCACCTGATGTTCTCTTCTTCGCTTCTTCACCTGCTCTTCTCTGTCTGCTCTTCTCTGTCTCTTTCTCTTCATTGGCTCAACTGGACTGCACTTCTCACCTCAGCCTTGTGGTGAAGTCTATCCACCTTTCGGACATTCTCTCTCTCATTATATTTTGATTTATTAGCTTCAATTCCATTATATCACATTATTTTGCTGATACTATATTTAGTAAATTAGTTTTTTTCACTCATATCGTTGCCGCTGTTCTCAATTATTTTGGGGTTCCGGAGGCGCGGATCTGCGGATCCCTCCGCCCCGCTCGTCACGAACTGGGTCGAACCAGCCCGTGAACTGTTGACAGACACACTTTTTGTGCCACTTTGTCACATCTCACACAATTGTTACCATACACAAAACTGGCTATGTATTGCACATAAAATATTTGAGCCAATGCAATTTCATGCCAGCTTCCTGTTAAATACTGTTCTCAGTATGCTTGAAAAGGGGCCTTTCTTTCCGACTCTGTGCTTAGCAGTGTTGTTTGCCGTTCATTTGTAGCTTAGATATACAGCTGTTTCTATCACTTTCAGATTAATAAACAGGTTCTGAAATACTGTGACATGAGAAAACTGACAATGAGTCATTAAGGATATTGAAGATAAACCTAGCACCCTTTTAATATTACTTCTGCACTCAGAAAAACAGTTTCTATTAAGATAGAATTGCAGCAGTGCCAGGCAGTGTCTGAGAAGGCTGTCTCTTCCATCTTTTAAAAACAGGCCAAAATACACTCATATTTTCTTTTAAGGTGGGCCCAGGGCAGCTCAAAACCAGCATGGATTATACAAAACAGTGTGGTTTTGCATTGTACACATCTGAGAATCTGCTCGGGTAGATTCACATCTGCTGCCAGCTGAGCAATTTTACTGGGTGTTAGAATAACATTAGGAGCTGGTGCAGCAATGGGAAAACAACATGTCAAGAAAGAAGCAAGCATAGCTGAATGTAACTCATTAAAACTGGAAAACAAAGTAAGCATTGTCACAAAAGCAATGGGAAAACATGTCTGTTGGGTAGCTGCTGGGTAACAGCAAAACGTCAGAAGAATGGCTTTACTTGAGACTGTCATGATATGATTTCTGTGAGACTGTTTATCTGAAAACAGAAAACAAAAACATCAAAAGCTGTAAAACAATGGGTAAAAAAGCCCCTGTCGTTAACATCTAAGGGCAGTTCTCTGGAGAGGAAAATTTATGCACAGCCTTTGTCAGAGCAGATTTGAATGCTCAGACACCAGCACTGTGGGAGTCAGTGGCAGTATATAACGTATTAAAAATAAAATCTGCTAGCTAGTCGGTTTGCAGGAGGTGGGGGTCACACCTTTCCCAGTCAGAGATGAAGGCAATTTAAACTCAGATTTCCCTAATGATATATGAGTGCCCCACACAATAAACGTATGGAAAATCATCCTTACCTGGCAGAGCTTTGCAAATACAGTGGCAACTTGGGTTTTTTTTAACCCTGGCAACGTGCTGGCTGGAGCAGAGGTCCAAGATTTTGCTTTCTCTTCAGCTGCTGCATTTATATTGCCACTGGCAGAAATAGGGTTGTTAACAGATTTGGGAATGTGTTATTGTTGCCTAGTCCCATTGTCACTGCTGCACTGGTGGTTAAACTTGGCAGAATTATGCAAAACTCAGGTCACTTTCTATGCTGAATTGCCAGTCCTGGTCCCAGCCCAAGGCATGTCCAAGGGCCAGCAGTGTGAGGATGGCCTCCAGCCATCTGGATGTGGCCCACCTGTGTGCAGCGCTGAGGTCTTCGTGTGGGTCACTCTCTGTTGGGTGACAACTAGGCAGGTGTACTGACACCCAAGTCCTTCTTTGTGATTTACCTCCGTATGAAAGCACTTGCTAGATGTTCCTCCTCTCTGTTTCTGTCTGTGGCTAACAGGAAGCAGGTGCCAGTAGCACTCACACCTCACACCCGCTACACCTCTGTGACAGATCTCTCTGAGCTGAGAACCCAGCGAGGTTACTTCCAGCCAGTCAGTCCCAGCTGGCTGTGTAGCTGTGTACCTTTCATATACTCGTGTCATCTCCAAAGCACTCAAGAGTCCTGTGGTTTTGCCCCAAACATGCGAGAAATCAAATATAAATTACCTTCATGAGGTACTTGCTAGATCCACCTTTGGCATTTCTTAGGCTTGTCTTTTCAGTGTGGACACCAAAGCCCATTTCCAGCCCCAGTTGCCCTTGATTCCTACAGGAGGGCAGTCAGTCACAGCAGAATTGGCTTTTTGGAAAACACACATACACACACACAAACAAACAAACAAAAAAAAAGCCCAAGAGGAAGTTAAATGTCTCACAGGAACTGGGTAAGTCTGCGTTTCACAGAGAACTGCCCTCTGGTCACAGCTGTCAGCCTGAGAATTCCCCAGCAGGGTGAAAGTGGTGGTCTACAAAACCAGAGCAAAGGAGCTCTGCACTATGGCCCATCCAGCACCTCCACAGAAGAGGGCTGCTCCCAGGAGCTGAAGAGAGGCAAAGAGGTCTCCAGGAAGGCTTGACATAGAGCTATTAAATGTCTGAGGTGTGCCGGGACCTAGGTGTGCTGCGGCCATGCTGGGGTTGGGGGAGCACTGCTTCCTGGCAGTGGCCATACAACAGGAACATCCTCAACCCACCATTTTATATTTCGAGCATCTTGGGGAACCACAGAAATGGACATAGGGTATAGTGTGTCTCTAAATGTAACTTGTAGATTCGGACTAGAGTAGGCCACAGCTCAGGACAGTGGTGACCAGTAGTTACCAACCCACAAATCTCGTGAGGCATGGACAGAAGCACAGGGCTGAGGCCAGATCCTGTATTCGAAAGTGAGGACCAACAAGCAGACCTCCCAGAATCCCAGGAATCAGAATGAAGGGGAAGGACTAAATGATCCTAAAGTCTACAACCAGGGGAAAGGTGATTTAGAATCAGAAAACACTGATACTTAAGTTGCAGCATTCCTAACAGAGTATAGGGCCTTGGTTGCATATTCCTGACTGACTAAGAGGTGCTATGAAGCAAGTAACTCATCTTCCAGCTGATTTATACCACTTCTGCTTACTTTGCCCCTGATCTTAGTTCTAGCACTGATTTTTAATTGTTTTATGGAGCCATGTGTAAATGGGAATGTTCCTCAACCTACTTCCATTCTTTTTCAGAGGCTAAGCTCAGGTCCATTTTTATTTGTGTTAGTTGTGTGCTCTGAGGCAGAACCATGTCACCATTCTTTCACATACCTTTAAGCATTTGCATCTAACTAGAGTTACCATTAATCATTAATTGTGATTACAGTCAGAACCTCAGGCAAGTTCACAGAATCACAGAATGGCCAGGGTTGGAAGGGACCTCAAGGGTCATGAATCTCCAACCCCCCTGCCACAGGAAGGGCCACCAACCTCCACATTTAATTCCAGACCAGGCTGCCCAGGGCCCCATCCAATCTGGCCCTGAACACCTCCAGGGACGGGGCATCCACAACCTCTCTGGGCAGCCTGTTCCAGCACCTCACCACTCTCTCTGTAAAGAATTTTCCCCTGATATCCAACCTAAATCTTCCCTCCCTCAACTTAAAACCATTTCCCCTCATCCTGCCCCTTCACCCTGCTCCCTTCTGCAGTTTGACCAAGAGAGTAAGAACATGGTAGCTCTGTTTTTAAGGCAATATTCATGCCAGCAGGCTTTAACATCTCTGTTATTTCCTGGCTAAATCTGTTCAGCAAGACTGGTTATATAACGAAGAATCTTTGTGATTTGATCTGATTTATCCCCACCGCTGGACTTCTTGACAGCCAGCCATCTTCTAAGTCTACATTCAGTATGTTCATGCCATAGCAAGTTTAATTCTACTGAATCTCCTACCAGCTGTGAAGAAATGCACACAAAAAAAAAGCCAATTGAACTTCTCTCCTTGTATGGCAAGAGAACTTGTCATCTCACTTCTTGTTCTTCTGGCAGAGAGGAGACTTCTTGAAACCCTGTGGCATGTCATAATCATGTGGCACTTCCACATCACTTCTGCCTTTCAAAGAAGCAAGTTTGCTTCTAAATGACCTTTTGTGGTTTTCATGTATTTCTATCTACCCCAGTGAACGTGTCTCCGTCCTGTCCTCCTGGCTCCCCCCACATTAACCAACATCTTCCCCAGTACTTCCTGATAGCAAAGCAGCTCTCCTGGAGACTTTGCATATCTGAAATCAACATTGTACATTTATCTGGCCTACTTATTTAACCTCATTTATACATATTTGAACCTGTATATGATACGTGCACTTTTGATATCTCTGATTATTTTAAAATTCTGTCTAGAATCTCATTCAGACACATTTTCCTGTACTATACACGAAAATTGCTATGTAACGAGTTTGGTAAGTCACATGCTATAAACTACACCACTGACTTATTCTGAGCTGTTTGCTTGTGCTCTTTCAGAAAGTTCTGACGCTCAGTCATATGCCATAACAATGCTCAGTTTTGATTTTCCCCCAGTGTTGGAGATCTGATGCTCTTCCCTCTGCATGGCCTTGAAAACATGATGCAGCTAAAACTTCAGTCTGCAAATAACTTCATGTTTAGGCAGTGGTTACCAGCATATACAAAGCATTACTGCAAAAATAACCAAGAAGCAAAACTGGAAATGAGGAATTGAGCATGCAAAGCAAGTATTTCACCATACCACATTTCCCTACAAACAGATGTGAAACTATAGATTGCAGTGAAAGAACATTCTGGTCCAGGACTGGATTTGGGGTAGGCAGGCTCTGGCAGAAACGATTGTTTGAAACAAGTGAAGATAAACAGTTTCTGTTGAGTATGCCAGAACAATTATTTTTAGCATCTTTAATAATATTCACAGAAAGTATTTCACTATAACATCAAAAGGGTAGGCTTGAAAAAAAAAATGGTGCAGACAGGATGTATGCCTGTAGCTTAGCACACTGCAGTAATTCACTGCTGGATTTGGTCTAGCAGGTCTTAATAGGCTGCTGCAATGAAAGTTGTAGCTGGGGCTTACGGGTTTCTGTGTCAAG